TTTTTTTTTATGCATTATGTGTCATGCATTATGCAAGAGTCTATGCTCCCCGTCTTATATGTACATATGTAAATGTAACACGCATTCTGCAATAAGCAATTAGTTAGCTGGAAATTGACCAATCACAGTCGTCCATTTCCAACTTCTAACTTCTTATTTATGATTAATAGCTTATTGTAGAATGGCCATAAATTGAAAGATACAGTTTCGCGACATCTTACATTCGAATAAAAACAATTGAAAGCTCACCGAACCACGAGCAGTGAAAAATCGCTCTCATGCCTCTCGCCGCGTATGCTCACTGTTCAAACCACGGACGTAAATGAATATCTGAACGGAGCGTAATGGCTCCTGCACACTGGACGCTTGCCGCGCAGCAAAATGTGATGCAGTAGCCAATAAGCTTACAACTCCTAATGTGTTCATTGGTTACCGCGTCTCAATTTGCCGCGCGGTAAACGTTTCCGCGTCTAGTGTGCAGGAGCCATAAAGCCAGCTTATTGGGATTGAAATCCGCGCGGCAGGGAGTCAGCCATCTTGTCTGGTGACATTTTAGCGCTCTATTCGAAAATCGATATATGTATTATGATATTACTTGTATCTCCAGTGCATAAAAATAGGATTTTGTGTGAGGCAAAGTTAATTCAATGGTTGTGTACAATTAAAAATAATGTTCTATTTATATTAAAAGAAGTGATGAATATATATACTCATTACTTCTTTTAATATAAACCGAAAATTATTTTTAATTTCACACAGCCGTTAAATGTTTACAAATCAAGTACTTAAAAAAGAGGCTATAAGTCAAGTTATTTTAATGCTAAACCAGGGAGAAATAATATAAAACTAAATTTCACATAATTGAACAAACATTTCGATCTGTATACAAAGTCATAATTAACGTTACAAAGAACTAGTAATTACAAGTAGTAACAGTTAAGATCGCATAAAAATCCTAATAAAATCCAAAATCATGTTAAACATTATTAATATAAAATATATAATATTGCCTCGAATTTTATATTAATAATATTTGAAAATGACTTTAGATATTATTAGAATTTTATTTTTTTTTTACGACTTGAATTGTACTCGTAATTATCTGTACGTTGTGACATTGATGATAATCTTTGTGTCAAAACGTTTATTTAATTATGAAATTTAATTTTACATTATTTTCGGATTAGCATTAAAGTGACTTATTGTAGACTCGTAGTCTCTGACAACACAAATTTAAACCTGTTTGAAAAACCTGTTTTAAAGTGAGTTTATGCAAAGTATCCAACCAATTTGTTAAGATCAAGAGATTGTTTCTCTTATTTTCATTTTTGCACTGAAAATTCATTTTTATGTAAAAATGAAAATAAGAGAAACAATCCAATGACCTTAATCTTAACAAAGGACCTGAACAAAATTCAAGAGGTTTTAGCCGTAGGTCGGACATCTTCAGTAATGCTAATGCCGACAGTACTGTAATTTTCAAGCCTGATAACTCGCAAAGTACTTCATAAAAATGAACTTAATTATAGTGTTTTGGAAAGCTCTCGAGATAAGCTACAAGAATATGTAATGAAAAAGGGGAGTTCCATTTAAAAAATTCATGTTGACCTTGGCCTGACCTTGACAACGCCATCTTAGATTAAATAATTACTATCGTTGAATGCATTTTATTAAGCATTAAAACTTTTGTAAGAAACATTTTTTTCTAAAATACATTGTTTATGAGATATTTGGGTATATTCAAACTTTTGGCCCACTCTATATATAAGCTATTGTATAGGCAGCATAATAGTATAGGCAGCACTTGATTAGATATAAATAATACACTAAATATAGCCACTATCTAATCAAGTGTATAAATAAATAATATATAATAAATATAAATATAATAAATATAAATATAAATTTAAATATAAAATATATATAATCAAGTGTATACATAATACGCTAAATATAGCCACTATCTAATCAAGTGACTTTCCAAAGAAAGGGAACATATCTGCACGACTTGCCATACTACAAGTTATACTGCAAAATATAATTTACAGAGTAATAGGCTGTTGGTAGTCAATCACACATATATATTTGCAGAAAAATTTTTTGTTCCGTGTTAAAAGCAAATATAATTCATAGAAAATAATTGCAGAGTTGATTACAGGTATTTAAAATGAATATTTTCCAAATAATATATAAAAAAGACATCTTTTAGATTTCTAAAAGATATCTGCTCATATAATGCGATATCTTGCATTTTTTACAAAAAGATATCTTTTAGGGACAACAGTTTAAGATATCTAAAGATATCTTAAAGATATCTTGAAGATGTCCTAAAGATATCTTTTAGATGTCTTCAAAAGTTCTTTTTAGATGTCTTGAACGTCTTTTAGATGTCTTGAAAATACCTTTTCGATGTCTTGAAAATATTATAAAAAGTAAATTCATATTTAGGAAACAAATAATAACATTATCATGCTGTGTTATTTTTCGTTTTCTATGGAAACAATTGTCATTTTTTTTTTCAATAAGAAAAGTATAACTTTTTTATTTTAAAGACATTCAATACAATTTTTTTTTACGGAGAGTACAAACTAACATTATTACAACAAAAATAATACTACTATAATAATACTATAAATAATAATAATAATACTCTTTTAATAATACTTTAACGTAAATAATACTTAAATATTACATAGATACTACACTAGATCAATCCATATTTGAATTAGATGCTCATTTTTTTAAACTTTGAACTATTCGAATAGATCGAATATTCAACATGTCGAATCTTTTGTCTGAATTCTAATTGTGATGTGGATGTGTGTGTGTGTGTCTACGCACGCGCATGAATGTGTATGCATGTATGTATGGCAAGCCGTTTTACTTTTTAATAGCATAAAAGAAATTAGTCTAATGTTAAATTCTTAAAAAATAATTGTCTTAAAAAAATTACGATTTTTAATAATGAATTAAAATGATGTCATAACATAATGATATTTCCATGAATTAAAATTATGTCAAGGCATAGTAGAAATTCCGAATTTTTATTATGTCTCGACATAATTTTAATTCATTAAATACCTGAGGTAATATTTTTTGCAATAAGTTTCTTTCCGTTTTTTAGGAGTTTTATTTAGAGAGGTTTTATTAAACGTTTCATAATGATTGTGTTGAAAGTCCGACAATTATCGGCGCGCAATCACATTTGGAATAAAGATTGATTAAATATATTCGTAACATTTAACTTTAACCATTCGGCGTTCTTTACTTTATTCTATTTAATATAAGATGTAAAAAAATAGAAATTTATAACTTTTTTATCTATCGTGATTTTAATGTCCGATAAGTACAATAGGTCCTAATAAAAATTATATAAAATTTCTATCAGATTTCTATAAATTTGTATCGTTTTTTGTCGGATTGTTTAATTAAGAGGCGCAGCATATAATAGTGCAGACAGTCAAACATGGCGAATCCAACAAAGTACATTTCTTCAAACGAGATGCAAAAACGCGCTGTATCGATAGTAATAAAAGAGTTTACTAAAGACTTAAAAAATATATCTGGAATATGTATGGATGTTGGTTGTGGTCCCGGAGACATAACAAATAATATCCTTCTACCATCTCTTGACTCAAATTCTGTAATAATAGGTAAGAAGTAACAAATTTTATATTACATTTTATATTATTTAATATGACAACGTAATGTGGTGAAAAAATTATTCCTTAATTCAATGATCTTGTAGGTACTGATATTCACGTGACCATGATTGAATATGCAAAGGAAACGTACAGTCACAACACACGTCTCAAATTCGAAATGTTGGACATTCAAACTAAAAACTTGCCTGAAAAATATGTTTCTAAGTTTAAACATATATTTTCATTTTATACTTTGCACTGGTGCTATAAAATCAGGTAAAAAAGTTATTAAATAGGTATAAATTTATCTTCTAAAATTATAATTTTATAGAAAAACATCAAATATAATTTATGTTATATATATTTACTGGGAAACGTATTCATATATAATTATCATTTTTTAATGATATGTATTCTAATTATTTTTAAACTATTATAAAATAAAAGAATGAGCACGCGCGATGAATACGTATTTTTTGAAAACAAAAATGTTTCAAAAATATAAGGAAGTTCTCATACTACTTCCTAGTCAATAGACGGTTTACTTGTATAATAATACGTAAAACAATTAAAATAATGGAATAAAAAGTACTAACAATATCTTATGCCATTATACATAATTATTATTTATTTTATATGTTACTAAATATTTTCAAAATGACAAAATAAAAGTTGTAAGATACTCATTTGATGTATACGCATTGTCCATTTGACATACGAGTATATTCTAGCTTTTTTCATTGAAGAATATAAATTTCTTGTAAACTGGTACGATTAATTTAAATGAAACTTACGAGAACACACTTAAGTGTTTACTTTATAATTATAACAATTTTTTGCTGTCTTATACGCAAGTGTCTCAATTTAAAAGATAATAACTACAGAATAAGCTTATATACCTTCAACTTGTAATGTAAAATTCTATAAATTTAAGAATTAAATATCTCCAAAATGGTACGGTAAAAGTCAATGAATTTTTTTCTAGATATTATTAACATTTGTATTACATGGACTATTATAGACTTCTCTTATAGTTTATCAAAAGCAAGAACCTCTTTAAACAAAGTTATTAGATGTGGCTCAATAACATAACATCTATTATCTAATAACTTTGTTTAAAGAGATCGCGACGTGCATAACAAACATATTACGTATAATTAATTTTAAATATATGACTTATGCAAAAAACACCTTACGTATGTAGTTGCATGCTCTTTCTATTTATGAAAAATATTTCATTCTAATCCATTAATTTATTAAAAGTTGTTAATATAAATATCGCACTATATTGATTTTTCACGAAAATATTATATTAGGTTGTTCGGAAAGTAATTTCGTTTTTTCTTATGAAAATGAAAGACGATTTTCAATCAGACGCGTTTCAAATGATCATGAACGGTCGAATTCGATAAATTTAATCTCTCAGCGATCTCACGAGTTGTTATTCGCCGGTTTGCATCAATTAATGCCTTTATTGTGTCTTCATCAGCTTCAATTGGCCTTCCAGAACGTGGTGCATCTTCAACATCAAAATTGCCGGATCGAAATTTTGCAAACCAGTTTTGGCACTGGCGTTCTGTCAATACATCTTCTCCATACACATCGGATAATTTTTTCTTGCTTGAACAGCATTTTTACCTTTTGGATAGTAAAAAAGTAAAATATGCCGAAAATGCTGCTTTTCACTTTCCATATTTGATAGGGCAACCAACCAAAAACTACTGCGTAGAATCAATCGAACTTTTTTCACAAGCAAGCCTTGCTATATCAGTTGTCAAAATATATAATGATTATGCGGCTTAAGTGTGAAGTTGGCTGTGAAAAAATACAGTAAGTCCTCTGTTGGGAAAAAACGAAATTACTTTCCGAACAATCTAATACACACATATATTATAAATTGATAACATTTCTTTGTTACATAACAGGAAAGTATTTGAGAATATATACTGTATGCTTCAATCTGGTGGAACTATGCTTGTACTGTTTCCAGCATCTCATCATATAATATTTGAAGTGCTTAAGAATGTTGCGCATAATTCCCGTTTTGCGCCTTACTTACAAGTAATTTATACATTTCATATTTGTTTGCAGTTTTTCAGTTAAAATATTAATCATTACTTTTGCACAGAATCTAGATAAATATGTACCATTATTTTATAATTCGGCCCTACCTAGTGAAGATCTGAAAGACTTGCTTGAAAGTGTCGGCTTTGACGTTCAATATTGCAAGCTTTGGGAGATAGATTTTTCCGATATAAATACAGATACATTTCTAAGTTAGTTACTTTAGTTAGTACTTTAGTAATATATATATATATATATA